TTGGCAAACTATTTCACACATATTTTTGGATGGCCATCCAAAACTGCTTGGCTTTTGTAATGTCCGGTAACTCCCATTCAAATGTGCGTGAGGATCGGGCGATAATTACGACCTGCAGACAATTTTGCAGTTTTTTGGTCCATTTCAACCCCTATATATATGGCGATCATCTCCAAAAGAGTAGGCTTCTATTCTGACCCTCATCCTATACCCATGCAAAATTTCGTAAGGATCGGGCCATAAATGCGATCTGTATATGATATCCTGATATCCTAACTACTTAGTTTTGTTAGCTGTAGAAATATTACCAAATGTTTAATTCAAAATGAAAATATGCCAAAAATATGACAAAATTGAAAAAATATGAGAAAATTTTACAAAATCCATATTTTAATTTTTAGAGAGATATTTTTATGCGATTTTTTTAGACGTTTTTTTCTTTCCTGCCAAGAGGCCATTCTGAATTAATGAGAACTGTCGAAATCAGTTCAGCCGTTCTCGACATATAAGATATTTTTCAAGCATATCTTCTTTGATAAACATATATATCGCACATATTTTGCTATATATCCGTTTTGTTGGATGTTAACATCAATGTAAAGATCAGAAGTAACCTTGCCATAGCTTGGTGATTTCGCCGGGATTTAAAATATTCTCGGTTTAATGAAAATTTTTGAATTTTTTCAACAAAAAAGATATGGTCTATTTTACCCGCTAAATATTATCCGACGACCAACCAAATTGGTAGGCTTCTTCCCCGCCCTAAACTCTAGCTACATGCGAAGTTCCGCGTCGATTGGTCTATAATTGCGACCTGTATAGCTACTGCAAAATCTGACATTTTTTCAGTTTTTGGTCCATTTCGACCTAAATATTATGTGATCATCTCCAAAAGAAATAGGGTTCTATTCTGACCCTAGCCCCACCTCCATTCTAAATTTCGTGAAGATCGGGCCATAATTGCGACCTGTAGAGTGATTACAAATTAACATGGACAGACGGACGGACGGACATACATAGCTAGATCGACTCAACTCGGCGAGATAGGAAGATCCATATATACTTTCCTATGTGGGAAATCAATATTTCGAGGTGTTACATAATTTTTGGCCCAATCAAACTTATAATACCCCCACATAGTGTTGTAGGGTATAAAAATCATAATTCTTGTAATATGTGGTATAAATGTCTGATTGTCCTCAAATTTCTCGCATTCCAATATTTCTTTAAACTCTAGATATCTTATAAACATAAATGCGAAAAATAACTAAAATTCGAAATATAATAAATAAAATAAATGCGAAATAAACATCCAAATTTTATTTAACCTCGCACATCCCACTCTTTGTACCAACACAAGATCTGGTGTGGAGATGGGCTATAACGCACCCCAACGGGTTAAAATTTAACATGCGAAACAAGTAGCGATTTTTATACCCTCCACCAGTCTATAGAGAATATATTAGATATTTATAATAGACCCTACAAAGTATATATATTCTGGATCCGCGTAAAATTCTAAGGCGATTTAGCTATGTCCGTCTGTCTGTTGTAATCATGCTATCTTTCTAACGAATTGAGATAGAAGGCTAAAATGTTGCATATATGCCTAGTTCAAAAGGTTATGTTCCTAAATGTTCCCATTTAACGATACCTCCCGCTAGTCGGTATTTTGATGATTTCAGTTATATTATTCACCGGAATCGCTTCAAATTTTGTATTTGAAGTTCGTAATGGGTACAAATTTCGTATGCTGGTCTACTTCTACGTATAGCCCTCATTTAAGGGTACATCCTGACTCTCTGTATTTTGATGATTTCAGCAACATTATTCACCGGAATCTTTTCAAATTTCGTAGTGGAAGATCTTAATGGGTAATACAGCCTATGACAAAAAATTTCGTATGCAGGTCCACGACTTCGTATAGTCCCCATATAACGGTTTGCATTTAAGTGGTAGATTTCGGAATTTTTTGAAAGTTTGCAAGTTCTTTCCAAATGGTGGAGGGTATTAAAATTGCGCCCGGAACTTAGCTGCTTTTTTACTTGTCTTTATGTGAATATGAGATTACGACCCTATTTTGAATAGCACTGTGTAACAAAAAAGAAAAAAAATAATAATAATTACAGGAATACCCCAATAGGTAATGAGAATAGAACTAAAAATGAGAACAAGTCAGCGTCCTGAAAGTTTACATCGCAAAATTAAGCTAAATATAGGGATAAAGTCCCCAACTCTTCCGTATTTTTTGCTATTTTGCGATTAAGAATGTCCAGGAAATTTTTACATTTTAGGTAATATAGTGTCCTGGCCAATATTACTGATGACAAGCAAAGTTAAAAAAAAATCGTTGAAAAATAACGCCTTAATTTTAAAAATTCCGAATATCAGGTGTCACGGTTTAAAAGGAATAATTCGGTTGAAAAATTTAGGTTAAATCAACAAAATACCGAATATTGGGAAGTACCTACACGAATATTTGAATTTGTATGGACAAATTTCTGACGTAGGAATTCCGAAATTGAATAAATCTGATGAAAATATTAGCTAAAATCGTCAATATACCGAACATAGGGAAATATAGTTATATGTGAACTATACGAAGATGTGGACTACACATAAATACCAAATTTGAAACGATTCCGGTGAAAGCTGGTTTTGGTGGAATAGTTATAAAAACCCTTGGACCTCAAGAGCCAGTTATTTGTCGGAGAAGGAGTTGCATATTACAAACCGAAAATACCAATTTTTGTATAATTCTGTTGAGAAATTTAGCTACAATTATCAAAATATCGCATATTTGGAGTTACTGTGAATTTAAGCAATATTCTCCTACAAATTACTATTTAAGGAGAAGGACGACAAAGACAAACTTATAGTATATCAAATTGCACTATAACTCGCTAAAGAAAAGAAATCCCCATTTTTCTATATAGCAAGAAAATATTTGCATTAATGTTACCAAAATAACTCGAAAATATATCCTAATTTTAAGACAAATTTTTATTCTGCCTTCTTCGGGTTGGTGCAACAATTTCATATTAGAAAAAACTGTAAGAAGATTAAGATTGAAATGAAAAAAAAAAAAAAAAAACAAATAAAAAAGCTGTAAGTTCGGCCGGGCCGAACTTTGAATACCCTCCACCATTTGGAACGAATTAATAAATTTCCAAAAAAAATCCATTAAAAACTCTGGTAAAATCTTAAAAATACCGAATATCGGAAGGTGCCGATATATGGGGGATACACGATAGAGTGGTACTATGTGATATCGTGGATCTATATAGATAATTATCTTCCAAGGAATAAAGTACTCACAGTGAACTCCTTGTGTGGAATTTTAGATAATTTAGATAATGTACGGTAGCTATACGAAGACGTGGACCTACATGGCCCATTTTCTGTTTTATGCTGCAGTATCTATTACGAACTTCAAATACCAAATTTGGAACGATTCCGTTAAATAAGGTCGCTAAAATCATCAAAATACCGAATATCGGGGGGTACCGTTATATGGGGGCTATATGAAGGCGTGGACCTACATGGCTCATTTTTTGACTTAGGATGTAGTAGTAACTATTACGAACTTCAAATACCAAATTTGAAACGATTCCCGTAAACAATGTCGCTAAAATCATCAAAATACCGAATATCGGGGGTACCGTTATATAGGGGCTACACGAAGAAGTGGACCTGCACAGATAATTTTCTGTCTTAGGCTGTAGTATCCATTACGAACTTCAAATACCAAATTTGAAACAATTCCGGTGAATAATGTCGCTAAAATCATCAAAATTCCGAATATCGGGAGGTAGCGTTATATGGGGGCTATATGATAACTTGGTCCTACATGGCCCATTTACGAACTTAACCTGCCTACTGACAAAGTATACATGTGTGCAAAATTTTAGCCTTCTATCTCAATTTGTTCGAAAGATAGCGTGATTACAACAGACAGACAGACAGGCAGACAGACAGGCAGACAGACAGACAGACAGACGGACATGGCTAAATCGTCTTAGAATTTTACGCTGATCAAGAATATATATACTTTGTTGGGTCTGACATGAGTATGAGTTACAAACGGAATGACAAAATTAATATACCCTCCATAGTATGGTGGAGGGTATAAAAATGTGTTTACCTTTTTCTCTCAATTTATCACGTTCAAGCGAAAATGAGCCAACTAATACCTAAGATCAAAAATCATTCTGAGTCTCAGAACAAAAAATAATGTTATCAATTTTTATTTATAAAAAAAACACTTTCTGTTCCGACAAAATTAGCACTCTTTCCGAATTCAATGAAAATTATCTTATAATTTCACAGTCCAATAGCCAGTCATATACAATGTTTTGAGATATATTTTTCCATATTTAATATAAAGCTATAGACATTGCTAGAAAGCTTTGGATTACTTCCAGAATCTGTGGTTTAAAAAATGTAATAGGTCGGTGTACTTGTATAAGAGTAAACGCCGATTTCTGTTAAATTCTAGTTAAATTTTCATTTAATTTAGCCAAATTTTGGATTTTCAGTTCTTATTTCGTGGAAAATTTTTCATTACGGCCAACGATTTGATGTGAAGCCAATGTAGCTGGTTTTTGATATTTCGAAGTTTAAAAACGAAACAACCGACTTACATGCATTTTAAGATCTTCTCGTGTTGGAGCGCTCAAAAACTTCGGCGTATCGCATTTTACTGTCAACAATTTTCGTACGTTCGAAAACACTGTGCTTCGACAATGCCAACAATAGTCTATACAACACTTGAAGAAAAATGTGTAAAAATGCAATGGAAAATAGATATTAACGCAACTAAATTATATCTAATCATAATAATGTTCAAAATAAACAACAATAAATAGTATGCTTCTATTGCAACTGCACTTTAGTTATCAGATACAAATTGTTTTATTTTTTGTGGCTGCAACTCGATGGGGCAGAGACAATAAAACTGAGTTGCAAGTTTACCACGATAATTAGTCGACATTGAACAGCCAACACTAAGCTCTAACATTGGAGTTGCAAGTGATACGCGTTCGCGTTTCCACCCCATAGCTGGACACCAACGTCCAGGACTTTTTATGTGAAAAAGAAAAAAACAAATACAATATATTTGGTTTTAAAAATAAAAAAGCAAAAATCCTTAAAAGTGAAAAAGAATAAAAAACAAATCCTAAAAGAAAGAAACTAAAACTTAAAATACCCATTATAATGGCTCCCTCATTACAAACCAGATTAGTGTTATTGAGCTCGCTATGTTTACTAATACCTGCGAGTCAAGCAGAAATACGCAGTCGCCCCTCCAAAAGTGTTAGTGCAAAAAGTAATAGCATTCACGATGGCCATAACACACACAAGCAGTCAAGTGGCAATAATCCAGCGGATAATGACTCTTCGAGTGCGTCCAAGTCAGGTTTTTCCACATCCTCGCAGTCGCCAGTGAATACGGATTTCATCGATAAAATGTCTTGGAAATGTGCCAACAATGCCAGTTGCCTGTTCAACATGGCCAGCGGCATTATTAATTCTTATCGTCGTGGAGAAACGGTCCATTTGGGATTCTTAGATTTGGTTAAACTGCCGCCATCGAAGAAGACCAAATCGAAATGGAATGCCACTGAAACCGGTCGCAGTATGTCCACATTTGTAGATTTTATCAGTGGCAATGCTATACGGATACCGGTCGGCCCCATGGTCTTTAGTGTGCAACGTGACGAAGATGATGCCAACTACATTGAAATTGCACTCTTGAAGAAGGCAACCAGTAGTACAGGTATTGTCTTGATGTTTGTCCGTTTATTAAAAAAAGTAGAACAAGTGGCAGTGGCTGTGAGAAGTGTTACACTTTCAAATGTGTGCAAAGACAAGCAAAGAAACAGGAAATGCTTCTGTCAGGAATGTCGTATGCGATGGACATGAGTAGATAGAATGTTTATGGATGTCTATTGCATGGTTTAATGAAATATTCGTAGTTTTCAAATATGTATTGGAGTAAGCCTTACGGGCATTTTTATGCTAAAATATAAAACAATGCTTCGATAAATATAACAAGTAAGAAAGCTGTATGTTCGGCCGGGCCGAACTTTGAATACCCTCCACCATTTGGAACTAATTTGGCAATTTCAAAACATAAATAAATAAATAAAATTTGTTAAAAATTTTATTAGAATCTTAAAAATACCGAATGTAGTCACTATATTAGGGTTTACACGACGACGTGGACATGCAAAGGCAAATTTTGTCATAAGCCACCTGTTCAATATTCAAATGCGAAACTTAAAAAAAAGGTGAATAATGTAGCTAAAATCATTAAAATACCGAATATCGTTATATGGGGGCTATACGAAGACATGGACCTGCACAGACAATTTTCCGTCATAGCCTGTAGTATCCACTACGAACTTCAAATATCACATTTGAAACAACTTCGGTGAATAATGTCGCTAAAATCATGAAAATACCGAACATAGGGATGTACCGTTATATGGAGGCTATACGAAGGCGTGGACGTGGACCTAAAGAGTATTTATATTTTTGATCCGTGTAAAATTAAAACGAAAATAAGTAGAAATGAGGACATATAGCAGTTCCACTCTTTTTATGGTGTTTTGAAAACATTCCCCATATATTATTGAGGAACTAGTATTAGTATAGATTATTTCCAAGTGAAATCATTGGCAACTTTGAAATTTAAATTTGTAATGTGTAGTAAATGGTGGATTTAAGTACAAGCTTTTGTATAGCTTCGATATTGGGTATTTTGAAGATATTCACTTGCCTGTAATTAAGAATCTCTCTCCGATAATCTCTCCGTTCAAAAATTTAAGTGTAAATCAATTTTTCGACATTGCTTTCATAAACGGTAACAACCAACATTAAATGCTACCTCTTGTTATTTCAAACGGTTTCATTCAATTAAGGTAGTTATAATTTTACACCCTACATCACAACGTGGTCAAGATATTATGTCTTTGTGCATTTGTTTGTAACAGGCAAAAGGAAAGAGATAGACCCATAGTTCCTTTTGATGATATGCATAGAATCAAATTCTGAGTCGATTTATGCGTGTCCGTCAGTCTATCTGTCCGTCCGTCTGTCCATGTATTTTTGTAAACAAAGTACAGTTCGCATTTATTGCCCTATCCAGATGAAATTTTGCACAAATCATTTGTTTGGCATAAAGACGGGCCCTATTGAAATTGGAGATAATCGGTCAAAATTTAGATATAGCTCCCATATATATCTTCGTCCGATTTATCTTTTATTGTGCACCAAACGTGTAATATCAGTCCGAATAGTATGGAATTTTGCACGTACGTTCAGATTAGACCTGAAAATAAGTATGCCAAATTTGATCAAAATCGGTTCAGATATAGCTATAGCTCCCATATATATTGTTCATCCGATTTGTCATTTTTGTCCTCCGCAGCCGTAATATGCACTCTGTAACAACAATATTTGGGGAAATATATCAAATACAACCCAGAAATAAATTTGCCAAATTTTATCGAGATCGGTTCAGATTTGGATATAGCTCCCATATATAACTTCGTCCGATTTACCTTTGATTGTGCACCAAACGTCTAATATTTGCCCAAATTGGATGAAATTTGGCACTTGCGACCGAATTGAGTCTAGAAGCTAGTATGTCAAATTTTGTGAAGATCGGTTCAGATATAGCTATAGCTCCCATATATACTGTTCATCCGATTTGTCATATTTGTTACCCACAGCCGTAATATACACTCCGTAACAACGATATTCAGGGAAATATATCAAATACAGCTCAGAAATATCTTTGCCAAATTTTATCAAGATCGGTTCAGATTTGGATATAGCTCCCATATATATCTTTATCCTATTTCAAATTAATTGTGTACCAAATGGGCAATACAAATCCGAATTTATGAGATACAAATGCTTCGGCATATTTAGTCCTTTGAACTTTAAATTATAATTATAATTATAATCATAGCGTGTATGATTGAATTCTCCGAATTCTCCGTTATGCGCAGCTCTACTTAATTAGCAAAGTGGTGTAGGGTATCATAAAGTCGCCCGCCCGACTTTAAGACTTTCTTTACTGGTTTTTATTCCTGTATTTCCCCAATATTAATTTATCATTTTGCGAGTTTTAACAATCTTTTGAGATAAATAAAAAGTAGAAAATGTCAGGAAATTAACTTTCTTACAGAAGAGATTGGCACAATTCCAATCAGCTTTAATGAAAAATTAGTTAAACCATTTAAAAGTCAAAAAATTTGACAAATGAAGAGATGGCTCCACTTAGACAGCAGTCTCAAATCGTCTACATTAGTCAGGACCTTAAACTATATTACCCTGTCTGTATTTTCTGTTTAAATGAATTTAAAGGATTACTTTTATTTATGGTGAAGGACCAGAGTCGAAAGTAATATTTTTTATTCCTATATGTTTCCAATATTAGTTTAATATTTTTTCGAATTTTATCCATATTTTGAGATACATGAGAAGTAGAAAATACTGGCAAATGTATTTGCTTGTGGAAAAGTCCGACATAATTCCAATCAGCTATGGTGAAAAATTATTTAAACAATTTAGAAGTCATAAAACTTCAACATTTGCCCAATGAAGAGTTGCCACCAAATCGGCACCTTTCTCAAAGAGACAACACTCGTGAAAAAATGTTATTACAAATGTGTTAAAAAAAAAACTAACAAAATGTTTATCCAAGCATAATTTTTGAATTTATATGTTAATTACAAGACCAATTTACGACCTTATCACGAGATAATCATTTACTTCTAAATACATAAAATAAACATAAATATTTACTTCTAAATATTCATCAGAGTCTCCATACAGTACTTATATGCTGATCGGCATGAAATTCTAAGATGATTGGTATTAGAAATTTGAAATGAGTGAATTCTGATTTTCGGTTTTCTGTATATATCATAGATCCGAAGACATTTCTGTTTATAGTTATTTTTTTCGCGGAAGACTACCAATATACTACTACTGATTTTAAGTATGTTTAACGATTTCGATGCAGTTTCAACCAAATTGAATGTAATTTGCCAAGTATGGTTCTTAAATGATACTATCCCACACAAACGAACAAAAATTTGACCTTAATTTTGAAAGCTGGTCCACATGTTGCAATTTTTATACCCTCCACCTTGGAAAGGAGGGTATATTAACATTGTCATACCGTTTGTAACATCCTTAAATATTCGTCTTAAACCCCATAAAGATATATATTCATAATCAGCATAATGATCATAATGATTTAACGATGTCCGTCTGTCTGTCTGTCTGTTGAAATCACGATACAGCCCACATTATTTGACGTAGAGCGCCAAAATTTAGCAGAGCTATTTGCATTGTGTCTAGGATGGTTGGTATTGAAAATGAGATATATCGGTCCACGTTCTGGTATAGTCCCCATATAACGGTACCTCCCCATATTCGGTTTTTTTATGATTTATGCTACATTTTTTTACGGATTTGTCTGTAAATTGGTATTTGTAGGTCATAACGGGTCCCTGAGCGTGTGGCAAAACATTGCATGTATAGGTCAACGTTGTGGTATAGCCCCCATATAAAGGTACCTCCCGATATTCGGTATTTTAGTTTTTTTGCCACATTTTTTCACGGATTTGTCTGAAAATTCGTATTTGTTGGTCATAATGGGTTCTAGCTCCGGTGGCGAAACATTGCATGTATGGATCCATGATTTGGTATAACCCCCATATAACAGTACCTCCCGATATTCGGTTTTTTGATGGTTTTTGCCACACTTTTTCACTGATTTGTCTAAAAATTGGTATTTGTGGGTCATAATGGGTCCTAGTTCGTGTGGCGAAACATTGTAATTATAGGTCCACGTTTTGGTATAGCCCCCATATTACGGTACCTCCCGATATTCGGTAATTTGATGATTTTTGCCACATTTTTTCACGGATTTGTCTGAAAATTCGTATTTGTTGGTCATAATGGGTTACAGTTTCGGTGGAGAAACATTGCATGCATGGGTCCATGATTTGATATATCCCCCATATAACGGTACCTCCCGATATTCGGTATTTTGATGATTTATGCCACATTTTTTCACGGATTTGTCTGGAAATTGATATTTGTAGATCATAACGGGTCCCTGAGCGTGTGACAAAATATCGCATGTATAGGTCCACTTTGTGGTATAGCCCCCATATAAAGGTACCTCCCGATATTCGGTATTTTAGTTTTTTGCCGCATTTGTTCACTGATTTGTCTAAAAATTGGTAGTTGTGGGTCATAATGAGTCCTGGTTTGTGTGGCGAAACATTGTAATTATAGGTCCACGTTTTGGTGTAGCCCCCATATAACGGTACCTCCCGATATTCGGCATTTAAATGGTTTTTGCCACATTGCTTCTAATGTTTCTTTTACCCTAAGGTGGAGGATATTAAAAGTTTGGCCCGGCCGAACTTAATGTGTTTTTACTTGTTAAATCTTAATAAGTCGTGAATTTACAAACGAAACGGTAGCGTCCAATCTCTATGGTATGTATGAAGGTCTTACACATAGTTTTACAGGACTAACAATTCCGTCGGGAAAACTAAGTCATCGTATATACAAAACGATGGATGATCCTTACAGGACTAAACAATTTAGTAGGGATGACTATATCTGCGTATCTTCAAGTTGATGGGAGACATCAGACTCCGGACGGAGTCCTCGCAAAAATGGCTCGAATTTGGAGCCCTGAACTTAAAGGCGTTTTTTATATCCTACACTACATTACGGTCAGGTTATTATGTCTTTGTGCTTTTTTTTTGAAAAAATGGAGAAGAAAACGAGTTAGACCCATAGTAACTTTTGAGGATCATAGAATCACTTTCTGAGTCAATTTATGGATGACGTCCGTCTGCCTTTACAAGTAGCATTTATTGTCCTATCGAGATGAAATTTGAAATTTTATAGCTCCTTTATATACCTTCGTCCGATTTGTCTTTTTTCCTCTTGTAAACCAAATTTAATATTAGCCACATGCAACCAAATTGAGCCTAGAAGAAAGTATGATAAATTTGGTAAAAATTGGTTCAGATACAGCAATAACTAATATCACATGCAGCTATGTCAAATTTTATGGAGATCTCTTTATATATAAATACAGGTCTCATATATATCTTTACCTGATTTTATGTTTATTTTGTACCAAATGGTTAATATCAGCCCAAATTAAATAGATTTTGGCACATGCGATCAAATTCAGCCTGGAAATTTAGTGAACATCGGTTCAGATATAACTATAGGTTTCATACATATATTATTATCCGATTTTGTATTTAAGTCCCTCACATGTGTAAAATGCAATCCAAAACAAAAGTATTTGGTGAAGGCATACAAATGCCTCTGCTAAAGGTTATAGATATGGATTCAGATTTGGATATAGCTCCCATTTGTATCTTTATCCGATTTCACGTTTATTGTGCAGCAAAGGTGCAATATCAGCTCAAATGGGATATATTTTGGGGGAAACCGGTTTCAATCTATGTCAAATTTAGTTCACATAAACTTGCAGGCTTTTTTATTTTTTGTAATCATATTTTCTATCCAAATTACCCTGTAATCATTCATTTTTCACGATCAACTGTACCATTTTATAATGCAAATAATTTTGGCAACTTCAACACAAACACCAAATGTATTAAAATTTATATTTAAAATGTCAAATTCTTAATTTGATAATTTTTTATTTCTATATTTTTGTTTTTGAAATTTATTTTGAAGTATATTTTACTACATGAAATGAATTTATGGTTTTACGCATTGGTGACATCGCAAACTAATTGCCTTTGCCAATTTGAATTTTTAAATTACTCAACGAGTTACACACAAAATTTTAATATCCTTTTGGTTTCAAAATTTCATATTCATATGGCTCCAATCAATTTATTTTGAAATATTGCATGCAACTAAGACTTTAACCATAACGAGAAGCAGAATTATATGTAATGCAATATGTATCTTCTAATTGGAAAGATATTCCACGAATTCATAGCAATGGAAATATTGCTTTCTTTTTGAAACTAAATACCTACACAGATATTTAGTTGCATATTTGAATTTGCAAAAATATTTCAAATATTATAGATGTATTATACTAAAATGTTCAATTTTGTAGCGCGCCACGGCATATTAGGAGGAGGCGGCGGTGGTGATGGCGGAGGTGGTGGCCTGCTGGGTGGTAGCGGAAGTGGAGGCGGAGGAGGACATGGTGGAATTATACATCGGTTCAAGGAACGCCACGAAAAAGAGGATAAAAAACAAATGCAAATGTATGTGCCCATGTATTTGGCAGCCACTACTTTTGGTTGGACTTTGGTGGCTGCCAAATTTGTTGGTCTGTTGACACTGAAAGCTCTGGCAATTTCAAAAATAGCTTTTGTGGTTGCTGCTATGGTATTGATGAAAAAGTTAATGGATAATGATTCAGAAAAGTAGGGAGAAGTCCATATAACCAGCGAAATTTGCAAAATATATAAATCATGTTTCTCAATTTCAGAATGATGTACCAATATCCGGAACACTCACCCTACATGATGCCCTACAGCATGGATTATGGTATGCACTCAATGGCTGCGGGCCCCGGAGATATGGCAGGTTCTGATATGTATGCCGGTGGCTTGCCAATACATGCTGCTGCGGTGGCACCACTGGGTGGTCATGCTGGTGGCCATCCGGGCCTGGAACATTATGCAGCTGAGAGTTCAGTACATCAAAATATTGCCGAAGCCCAAAATAATACCCAAGTTCTGGCAGCGCTTAATGCAGCCGGTTTGGGACAAAAAGTTAAACGTGAAGATTCATGGCTTGGTCGAAGTAAGTTTAAATCCAGCATATGATATTCACAACTTGCACATTCTTATGCACTCACCATGACAATAATTATAGCACCCCACTTAAAGCACTCCTTTGAACCTGAGTTATTTTCACAATCATCACCATTCTATTTAAGAGAGAAATACAAAATATCTTCATTGAATATTTATGATGATCTTATAAAAGTTGCCGCCGTAGCAGCTGCCGAAGTCGTGGAAGAAAATGAAAAACGTTTGCAATGGAAAGCAAATTTACTTGGCATGGACGTCGAAGAAGTCGAGGAAGAGGAAGAAGAAGATCAAATATTCAATGAAGAAGAAAGTATAAAGGATACCTTGCAATATTTAGGAATGGATATACGCAAAAGAAAAAGTAATTGGTAGTTCTCATATATTATTTTGTAAATATGTATTTGAAACACTCAATCCACCATATATATGAAAATCAATGATCTCGTTATAAATTAAAATAAAATAAACATTTTTTTTACATATTTTTAGAAGTAAGTATAAGTTATGAATAAATATTGAATTCGTCATTATCAGTACGATGAAAATGCATATATATTTTGGATAGTTGCATGAAAACCAGATTAAATAAGCTTTATCCACACAAATACCGTGAATTGGAGCATCAAATGCAAAAAATTGAAATAGGGATGCATAAAATGGATAAATTGAGCATATGCTAGAATATACAAATAATGTTTTTTGTACTTATGAACCCCAAATAATACATATATCTTGATATGAATAAAATTCTAAATGTGTCCGTCCACTTAATCAATAATTTCTACGCATATGTGTTTTGAGACAAGCGAAATTCAAAAATAAACTTAATCAATACACGCCATAATCCTAAATACCTGTTGAACATGAAATCACGTCTTTCAGCACATACCAATGGAAACGAGATAGTCCTATAGTTCCTTTTGATGATATTCATAGAATTACATTCTTAATCGATTTATCCATGTCCGTCTGCCCATATATTTGTCTAAGCAAAATGCAGGTCCATTCGACTGTGATGAAATCTTGCACATATAATGTTTTTCCAATGCTTAGTGATAATTGGTCTAAATTTAGATATAGCTCCAATAAATATAGTGCCCCAATTTAAAGTTTATTGTGCACAAATTGTGTAATAACAGACCGAAATAGGACGAATTTGGGAGAATTCAATCATACGCCCTATGATTATAATTATAATTTAAAATTTAAAGGACTAAATACGCCGAAGCATTTGTATCTTTTAAATTCGGACTTGTATTGCCCATTTGGTGCAAAATTAATTTGAAATCAGATAAAGATATATATGGGAGCTATATCCAAATCTGAACCGATCTCGATAAGATTTAGCAAAGGTATTTCTGAGCTGCATTTGATATATTTCCCCAAATATTGTTGTTACAGAGTGCACATTACGGCTGCGGAGGACAAAAATAACAAATCGGATGAACAATATATATGGGAGCTATAGCTATATCTGAACCGATTTCCATCAAATTTGGCATGCTTATTTTTAGGTTGCATGTGCAAAATTCCATACTATTCGGGCTGATATTACACGTTTGGTGCACAATAAAAGGCAAATCGGACGAAGATATATATGGGAGCTATATCTAAATTTTTACCGATTATCTCCAATTTCAATAGGGTTCGTCCTTGGGCCAAACAAATGTTGTTTGAAAAATTTCATCTCAATCGGATAATAAATGCGACCTGCATTTTGTTCACAAAAATACATGGACAGACGGACGGACTGCCATGCATAAATCAACAAACAAATGCACAAAGACATAATACCCTGACCACCTTGTGGTGTAGGGTATAATTAGTTCAGATTTAGATTTCAATTATATTATTCGCCGAATGTGTTATATTAAAATTTTGGCAGGAATTACCAAATTTAGGTAGAATTTGTAAAAGCCTTTGGCAAAAATCAATTAAGATTTAGCTATAGGTCCCATATAATTTATATAGAATGTAATATTATTTTTCATCCAATTACATATCTAGGTCCAACAAATCCATATTATACACTCCACAAAAAGGACCTTCGGTACAAGATATTAGAAACATTCTCAAAACACCTTTGGCAAGTTTTGTAGAGATCGGTTCAGATTTGGATATATTCCCCATATATAATTCACGATAATTTGATGTAATCTATACATCAAGGATGCTATAATTAGCCAACTAAGTTCTTTCATCCGATTTTATAATTAAATATTCTGAAAGTCAAAATATTCACTCCACAGAAAATACACTTGATTCGAGAGTTTACATCCAACAAAAATTTTCCTCAGTTAAGTTTTGAAGAAATCCATTAAGATATAGTTTTCATATGCCAGTTTCAATTGATTTCAAATTAAATCCGTTCTAAAGCCTTAATATGCAATAATACTTAAATTGCCAACATGAACGTTTATTTGCTACAGGCGACTCTACTAAATATTCATTCTCGTGTTGGGTAACATTAAGTCGGTACCGCTCTACTTTTGCCTTTTCTTATTGATTGTTAGTTTTTTTAATTTGGCATGCGAAATTTATAATAACCAGTATAGTTTCGGTATTATACACCAAGGTTTTCGAAAATGGTCATATTACAGGGTAAGATAAAAAACTGCAACAAAGTCAAACGCCATAAATTTTACATTTTTTAATTTTATTTAATTTTATTGAATATCATCAAATATTGGAATAAGTTTAGATTTGTTCGAATTGGTCACCTTTGGCACGAATTCAAATCGCTAATGAAACCGTCACACGCTGCCCGAATTTGGCTCTGCGGTATTTTGGCCCATTCCCTGCGAAGCGTTTGATTGTGGTGATCGACACTTTGGTATTTTTTAGTGCCAACCTTGCTTTCCAAAATACTCTAAACTCAATAGTCTAACAGATTGGTATCCGGAGATTTTGGTGGCCATTGTGCGCTGGAAATGAAGCGAGGAACTTCATTTTGTAACCATTCTTGGGTGGTGCGTGCTGACTGCTGTTGGAATGACCAAGGTCTGCGGCCAAAATGTTTGCGTGCTTTATAACACAAAGGCTTTAATACGCCCTCCGGCGCTTGAGCTATGGTGGCCAACCGAAGGTGCATATTTTCAGTAAACACGACCATTTTGTTTGTTTACAAACTTCTGGACAACGAATTTTTTCTCATCGGAGAAAACCAAATTTGGCAGTTCACCACTTTCGGCCAAGCGAAGTAAGTCATTAGCTCTTTTGAGTCTATTTTCTTTCTGTTGCGATGTAAGTTCTTGCATTTTTTTTGGAATTTCAATCTTTGCCGAATGGAATATTGCGATATGTTCAGCTCAATATCCATTTTTCGGCCACTGCGATGCTGGGTTCGATCAAGTTGCTTCTTTACTTTTCGAATCATTTCTGCTGATGTTGCTGTTTTTTCCGTCCACTTTCATTGTCACGGTAACGAGCGATGGCACTAGACACAAAAGATTTATCCACATTTAAATGCTGGAGTGCTCTAACGATAGCCACTTTTGGTTTTCCAGCCAAATATAAAGAAATCACACTATCACGCTTGAATTCCATCACGAATAACTTTTTTTTTCCGGAAAATTCTCAATTTTGATTTTGTACGCTTGTAAACAATATAATAAACTGTCACTGGAATAATTTTAAGAGCTGTCGGACGAGTGGCTTAGATATGAAAGCAGTCTGAAGTTGGTTGCAGTTTTTACATCTCACCCTGCATGTACTTTGTCAGTACAGCTTCCATGTACATTCGGCACCTTTTAAAATTAATTTTAAGGATGGTCATTTATAGTTCTTAATAAGTATTTAGTCTTATGGGAAAAAAATCAATTTGAACCAGTATTGTGTTATAGCCGAACCAGCCAATATTCGATATTGTGATGTCTTTGTAAAATTTTCAACGGAGTTTTCTGCATGGATACCTAACCTTCTTAAAGTAATTGGTGTGTGTATGTCCGAGATTTTTATAGCATTTATATAATGGCACGTCACCCTTTTCAATATCATTCAACTGTCGAAATGCCTACTACGGTGTATCTTACGTTGTGTTCCTCAAACTACAACACTTTTTTACAACTTCGTACTTGAGCACCGGTCTCGTGGTCAATAAACCCATTTTACTTCTTTGAAAAAATAAAGAGAAGACATACAAATATAAAATTCGCTGTAACTAATTTTTACAGGGTAATTTTGACGGGGTGAAAAATAGCTCGGAATGGCTGAAATGTTGATTTTGAAGGATTTACGATTTCTAGAAAATGTTACTTTATTAAATGCCAAATCAATAACCAATGTTAATTGCATTGTGGAAACAATGCTAAGGCAAAAATAGCCTATTTAAAAGAGTCATGCAATTCTTTTTATACTCTCCACCGTACATAGCATGGAGGGTATATTAAGTTCGTCATTCCGTTTGTAACTCATCGAACTAATAATTTTAGACCCAACAAAGCGTAAAATTCTAAGACGATTTAGCCTTGTCGGCCCATCCGTTTGTTGTAATCTGGTTATAGTCAAAACGAATTAAGATAGGAAGCTACAATTTTGCACAAATCCGTCTTTCGTCTGTAGGCAGGTCAAGTTCTATGATGGGCTATATAGGTCCACATATAACGGTGCCACATTTTTCAATGGAATTGTCTGAAATTCTACACAAGGAGTTCTTTATATTTACTTATTTACTCCTTGAAAGAGAATTGATTATATAAGTCCACGATATTCTATAGCCCCCATACAAAGGTACCCCCCGATATCCGGTATTTTGATGATTTTAACTGAAATGAAAATCCACACAAAGAGTTTCATGTGAGTTCTTTACCTCCTGCAGAATTATCTAAATCGGTCCACGATATCGTATAGCCCCCATATAACGGTACCGACCGATATTCCATATTTTGATGATTTAAGCCACATTTTCAATGGAATTGTCTGAAAATGCTCACATGAAGTTCCTTGTGTGCACTTTATCCCCTAGAAAAAATTGTCCATATAAAGGTACCCTCCGATATTCGGTATTTTGATGATTTCAGCCAAAAGTTTTCAATGGAATTTTCTTAAAATGTACAAAAGGAGTTCCATGTGAGTATGTTACCCTATGAAAGAGAATTGTCTATATAGGTCCACGATATCATACATCACCCTGTATAACGGTTCCTCCCGAAACTCGGTATATTGATAATTTTTGCAACGTTATTCACCGGAATTGTTTCAAATTTCGTATATAAAGTTCGGAACAGTTACCACAGGTTATCACACAAATTACTTATGCAGAAGCACGACTTCGTATAGCCCTCATGTAATGGTTTTCAACTGAGCGGTATGTTCCGACGGATTTTTTTTTTTTTTTTTTTTTTTTTTGAAAATTTTTAAGTTTCTTGCAAATTATGGAGTGTATAAAAAGTTCGGCTCGCCGCTTTTTTACTCGTTTCTATTTTTATTAAAAAAAATCAACAAAACCAATTTATTTAATTTTAAATTTTCTAATTTTTATTTATTTTCTTTTAATTTCCAGCAACACCAAACCTGAGACGGCCATTGGTTTACAATTACTTAAATCCATACTCGCACTACAGGCAATAAACAAGAAAGGATATTAAAGGCCAGTGTTTAAAAACCGACTACTTCAAAGCGGCAGAAAGAAAATGTAAAAAAAAACAATTAGGGGAATTTTTATGTAACATTTAGTTTAAGAATATGAAATACACACACACTTACCAATCGATGGGACACGCGGAACTAGCAAGTAAGTTTTTTCCATATTAGTAGAAAGTAATAAATTTATTTATTTGTTTTATAAATAACAGCAAAACATGCTCAAAAATCAAAAAAAAAAAGTTACTCAATTATAGAACATTACAAGACTTTAAAATGAAATGCCAGTAGAGAAAACATGTTTAAAACATTTTTTTATTTATTTCATTGCAACTTAATTGGTATTTTATTTGTAAAAAATGGAAATACAATTAATATTATTATTTTTTTAATGTAAAATAAATAAATTAGTTAATAAATAGTATAAATAAATTAAAATAAATAATAATAAATAAAATTATTTTTTTTTTTACTTTTTCCATTTACATTTGGCTGTTTCATTGTATGAAAATAAACAAAGGTTAAATAATGAATGAGAGAATGAAAAATGTATGTGCAGAGTAATTAGCTCTTGAAATGAGATATTATCACAGTAACAGAAGAGAAACGGAAAGTTTGAAAAAGAAGCCACACCTCGTAGAGAAAATTAATACACAAGAAAATTAATAAAAAATAAATAAATAACAATTGTAACAAAATAAATATATAAATAATTAAACAAACACGTAACAATAACAAAAGTCAACCTCGAAGCCCTTTGATGTAGAGAAAGTACAGAAATATGATTCTAAAACCAGTGTGAGAACCTATAAACTGTAGTGAGGAAATGTGGAGCGGTTCCGAAAATGTACTCCCCCTTTTCATTCTGTACAGTTTTTTGCACCTAAAATAAATATTTAAAAAAATCATTGTTGGAAACAAAGATTTTGGCATTAATCAGACGTAAAGGATGAAATTAGCATATTTTCCCTGCATCGCCAGAATACTATATTTTTTTATTTTAACATTTTGATGTTTGAGCAATTCTAACACTTTTTCTCCAATTTGTTTGACTCATCTCATACCTGGTTTTAGAAGAATACAAAGTGAACTCGCAAAGCAGATATCCAGAAGAACAAAACCATAGATACAGATATGAAATCTTAAATACTTAAAAATATGTCAACCATCTTTTATAATCGCCAAATACAACGCCTTCAATATTCCGTTCCATACCTAATACCTTATAAATCCTCAGGTTTTTGTGCACTAAATGCCATATCATGCGCCTCTTCGGCCAGTAGCTTAGCCGGCACTTCAACCAAACCCTCCACAAAACCATCCAAAGCACGTGCCCAACCACTGCTATAGCTATCGTGATGCGGTACCTCCACAATGTGTTTCTTTTGTGACAATAGTTTTTTCAGCGCAATTATCACCGACAACAACAGGGCAATCTTGGAGACTATTAATGCCTTACCCGCCAACAAGAACAGACCCTTTAATATAATGGCACCAACAAGGCCAGCTTTACCGGCCATCACCATCAATATGGGTAACATATTTTTCATTTTACCTCTTCCCTCCTCCAAGGCCACACCTGGACTAATGGAGACGCCAATATTTAAATTACCCTTTGGTTCGGCATATGCCACAAAATCTGCATTATCACTGAAATGATAACGCAACGTTCGTGATGATATGAATTTTCTTATTTTATTGGCCACAATCAAGGCCAGCGTTTCGTCATCCGAGTCTATGGAACGTGCCAACAGTAAATCATCTTCCGGATCATCGGGTATTTCATCAATATCTCTGAAGAAGAAAATAATGCAAAAGACCATAAAAAGACCACCAACGGGATTGGGATTGGTCAAAAAGAAATTGAAATATGCTCCAAAATGCTTACCGATTCTGAGTAACTGTTACTTTTTTATTCACTTCAAGTGAAGATTTCTTGAATATCCGATTCATGTACACAATCAACTTGAGCATCATACACGAGTGATTATCTCTTTGGCTGCATTTTGTATTGAGTTTCCTCAGAAATCCTTCTTCCAGTTGATTGCGATTAACCGCTGGTATCTGTTGAAAAAGACAGAATAAATAAACATTTGTTTAACATCTACTTATGAATGTCATATTTTAAGAGAATACCAATAAGAATAATATTTTGAAAACAATAAGGTCCCCCAGCTGCACTTTTGATATCCTACACAATGAGGGAAAAAGAAAACCTAAAAAAAACAACTTTTATCTATCTATCTTGACTGCAAGAAAGCCCTGGTTGAAACACGTGAGTTCCAGGACATAGCAATATAGTAGCTAATGAATTAGATCGTGGTGGATATACAATTGCTGAGATTGTTAAACCACAAATATGCTGTTACGTTAGCTGCTTTGAAAAATACCTAATCGAAGAAGCTGCGAAGGCCATCTGGCCTAGTAGGTCTTAGGTCTATGAATCGTGGTTGACATACTGACTGGTCACGGCTTTATCAGATATTTAACCTCAAGATGGATCAATAATGTTTTTGACTACTGTTTAATTTAGGTTGAAAATTATTGTTTTGCTATGTTTTGCTCGGTTAACGCCTAATTACTTGCAAATGATTAACATCTTTCAGCGAGTGGCGAATGACGCCGAAACGCCGTCTTACTTGATGTTAGGACAGAGACAGGGAAATGGGTCATATCGGTCCACGTTTTCGTTTAGCCCACATATAACAGTACCTCTCAATAGTCGGTATTTTAATTATTTTGTATTGGACGATCTTAGTGGGTACCACATCCTATGAAAAAAAAACTATGCGGGCCCACGTCTTTACGGTATCTTCCACTATTCGGTATTTTAAAGGTGTTAGAGATATTAAAGATCGGAATAGTTTCGACTTTCGTATTTATAGTTCGTAATGGGTACTACAGCCTATGGCAAAAAATTATATATGCAGGTCCACGTCTTCGTATACCCCACATATAACGGTGCCTCCCTTTTTCGGTATTTTAATGATATTAGCGACATTGTTTTGAATTTCGTGCTTGAAGGTCCTAATGGTTGCTACGGCCTATGACGAAAAATTGCGTATACAGGTCCTCATCTTCGTATAGCACCCACATAACGGTTTTAATTTAAACGATATTTTTCGACGATTTTTCTTAACATTTTGCTAGTTCCTTCGACCCAGTCGAACTAAGGTGCTTTTTTTATACCCTCCACTTTGAAACTTTGTTATTCCATTTGTAACATCCCAAAATATTCATCGTAGACCCCATAAAGTCTATTTATTCATAATCAGCATAAAATTCTAAGTCGATTTAACGATGTCCGTCTGACTGTCCGTCTAACTGCCTGCCTGTTGAAATAACGATACCGCCCACATTTTTTGACGTAGAGCGTCAACATTTAGCAGAACAATTTGTATTGTGTCTAGGATGGTTGGTATTGAAAATGAGATATATCGGTCCACGTTTTTATATAGTCCCCATATAACGGTACCTCCCGAAATTCGGTATTTTATTAGTTTTTTCCACGAATCTGTCTAAAGATTAGTATTTGCCAGTCATAATGGGTTCAAGCTCGTATAGCGAAACATTGTATGTATAGGTCCACGTTTTGGTATTTCCCCCATATAACGGTACCTCCGGATATTCGGTATTTTAATTATATTTTTTTACGGATTTGTTTTAAAATCGGTATTTGTGGGTAATAATTGTTTGACGAAACATTGAATGCATAGGTCCACGTTTTGGCATAGCCCCTATATAATGGTACCTCCCGATATTCGCTATTTTGCTGATTTTTCATGGATTTGTCTAAAAATTGGAATTTGTTGGTCATGATGGGTTCTAGCTCCCTTGGCGAAATATTGTATGTATAGTTCCACTTTTCGGTATATCCCCCATATATTGATACCTCCTGATATTCAATGCTTTATGATTTTTGCACATCTTTTATAGGATTTGTCCAGAAATTGGTATTTATAGTTCGTAATGGGTTGTAGCTCGAATGGCGAAACATAGTCTGTGTAGGGCCACGTTTTGGTATAGCCTCCATATACCTGTACCTGCTGATATTCGACATTTAAAAAAAAAATTGGAACTTTAATTTATAATGTGTTCTAGCCCAGAACATTTAATATTTAGTTCCACGTTTTCCTATAGCGCATATTTAGCGATACCCACCGATATTTGGTATTTTGATAATCCTAGTCACATTTACCCACATTATTGTTTTAAAATTTGGTATTTTAGAAGATTAGATAGATGGCAATCTTTGGAGTATAAAATTGTCTATAAAAATTCCCGTTTCCCAAATAACGTCCTCACTAACTTTATGTTTTTTTGATAAATTTAACTGCGTTATGCAAAAGGCCCTACTGGTATTATAAAGTGAAACACGCTTGAATTCAGATACTTTTATATAAAAATGTTTCCCTTACCCTAAGGTGGAGGGTATTTCAAGTTCGCCTCGGCCGATCTTAATGTTTTTTTACTTGCTACTTTTTATTTTTTTTATTTTCAACATACGGAGGAAACACAAATCGAAGGCTCCACAACAATCCAGCGCCACTTCGTTCAATTTTTAATTTATTTCATAGCATAATTTTATGTAGCACGCTTCTTTTTTTGAAGATAGGACCTATACCTATATGTCCATATCTATATAATCCGAATAATTTCATTCCAAAATATAGCATAAATTTTTAACGGCAAATCTTTGTAATATGGACCACTTTCCAATAGGAATTATCCCATTTCAGCTTATCATCCCTAAACATAAAATTCACTCTTTTTGCCACAACTTAATTTTAGTTGCTCCCATTAAAATGTGTTTTGCCGGGCTCATTTATTGTGGAAGCGTGAAATATGTATTCAATTTCTCCAAAAATATCTTCTTCTCATTCAATGTTATCCAGACAATAAATATGTAAGTCAGGCAATTTTGTGTTTTGTGTTGTCAGTTTAAAGAACTATTAACTTAATGACACAATTTGTTGTCTACCACCGACGCAACACATTAGGATTGTCGATTTTCGTTTTTCCTTAGAACCGCAACAAATAATTCGTTTGGTTAGCCGACAACACAAAAGACACCCACACAACGAAAAAATAAAAATCAACCATTTCAGCACTTATAAAGATGTATGGATTTGTGACCTTGAAGCAACAACATATAATGGAGATACCAACAAATCAAGCCTCTAAACTTTTAATACAATTATCAGTTAAAATGTTGCACACACAAATTCGTATCCCAGTGTGAAATATGTGTAGGCACATGATATTTATATTCATAGGTAAGTCATATGAATTATTCCTTTAAAAAGTGGGTAAAATAGTTTCGTAAATATTCGTCCTAACACGAAAATCGTGAAAGCAATCTCATAGCTATAATCTTAATTTTTGAATCATTTTGAATTTAAGATGTCCTAAAAATGTAAACATAAAAGCTTATATTTATTTAATCATAACCATAATCGTGAACCAAGGATTTTTAGAAAAACAATCGTTGTTTTAGACGTGAATTTTTAATAGATCTTTATACCCTCCAGCATTATGTGTTGGGGGTATTATAAGTTTGATTGGGCCAAAAATTATGTAACACCTCGAAATAATGGTTTCCCACATAGGAAAGTATATCTAGCTATGTATATCCGTCCGTCTGTCCATGTTAGGATGGTTGGTATTGAAAATTAGATATATCGCTCCACGTTTTGTGATAGTGCCCATATAACGGCAGCTCTCGATATTCGACATTTTATTGATTTTTTGCCACATTTTTCCACGGATTTGTCTAAAAAAAGGTATTTGTAGTTCGTAATGGGTTCTGGCTCCGCTTCGGATAGCCCCCAATCAACGATATCTCCCATTTCTCGTTAATTTAATGATTTTAGTCACATTTTTCCAGGAATTTGTAGTTCGTTATGGGTTCTAGCTCAGGTGGGGGAACATTGTACAAGTAGGTCCACCTTTCCGATATTCCGTATTTTAATGGTTTATTAATTTTTTTATAATTTCCAAATTCGTTCCGAATGCTGCATGGTATTCAACGTCCGACCTGGCTGAACTTACTGCTTTTTAACTTGTTGTTTTTAAGGAAGACTCTTCAGCACAAATTTGACTTAAGTATTATTCATAGACCAGAAATTTACTTATTCGAACAATGACTTTAATGTTTTAAAATCCTATAGAAATAAAATAAAGCAAGTAAAAAAGCTGTAAGTTCGGCCAGGCCGAACTTTGATTACCCTCATCCATTTGGAACGAATTTGGCAATTCTCAAAAACAATAAAATCCGTTCAAAATTTTGTGGACCTGCACAGACAATTTTCTGTCTTAGGCTGTAGTATCCATTAAGAACTTCAAATACCAAATTATAAACGATTTCTGCAAATAATGTCGTCAATTTACCGAAAATAGGGAGATACCATTATATGTGGGCTATAGGAAGACGTGGACCTGCACAGGCAATTTTCAATCTTAGGCTGTAGCATCCATTGCGAACTTCAAATACCAAATTATAAACGATTCCGGTAAATAATATCGCTAAAATCGTTAATATACCGAAAATAGGGAGGTGCCTTTATATGTGGGCTATACGAAGACGTGGACCTGCACAGACAATTTTCTGTCTTAGGCTGTAGCATCCATTGCGAACATCAAATACCATATTTGAAACAATCCCGGTGAATAATTTCGTTAAAATCATCAAAATGCCGAATATCGGGAGGTACCTTTATATGTGGGCTATACGAAGACGTGGACCTGCACAGACAATTTTCTGTCTTAGGCTGTAGCATCCATTGCGAACATCAAATACCAAATTTGAAACAATTCCGGTGAATAATGTCGCTAAAATCATTAAAATACAGAATATCGGGAGGTACCGTTATATGGGGGCTATACGAAGACGTGGACCTGCACAGGCAATTTTCAATCTTAGGCTGTAGCATCCATTGCGAACTTCAAATACCAAATTATAAACGATTCCGGTAAATAATATCGCTAAAATCGTTAATATACCGAAAATAGGGAGGTACCTTTATATGTGGGCTATACGAAGACGTGGACCTGCACAGACAATTTTCTGTCTTAGGCTGTAGCATCCATTGCGAACATCAAATACCATATTTGAAACAATCCCGGTGAATAATTTCGTTAAAATCATCAAAATGCCGAATATCGGGAGGTACCTTTATATGTGGGCTATACGAAGACGTGGACCTGCACAGACAATTTTCTGTCTTAGGCTGTAGCATCCATTGCGAACATCAAATACCAAATTTGAAACAATTCCGGTGAATAATGTCGCTAAAATCATTAAAATACAGAATATCGGGAGGTACCGTTATATGGGGGCTATACGAAGACGTGGACCTGCACAGATAATTTTCTGTCATAGGCTGTAACATCCATTACGAACTTCAAATGCCAAATTTGAAATAATTCTTTCGAATAATGGCGCTAAATTCATCAAAATACCGAATATCGGGAGGTATCGTTATATGGGGCTATACCCAAACGTGGATCTACATGGCCCATTTTATATAAATAACAAAATTCCTGCAGACATAATATACATTTGAGAATAATTTTTGTCAATCTACTTCAATTCGTTCGGAAGCTAGAGTGATTTCCACAGATGGACGGGCATCGCTAAATCGACATCGACATAGAATTTTATGCTGATCAAGAATATATATACATTGTGGGGTCTAAAATGTATATTTCGAAGTATTACAAACGGAATGACAAACATAATATACCCTCTATACTATGGTGGAGGGTATAAAAATTAAAACGATTATTTAACATTGTGCCCCATTTCTTAAAGACATAACCGCACACATCCAATAATTAAAACTAAATCTATTATTTTCTTAAACATTTTCACATTTCTATTCGAATCAATTCCACATTCTAGTTGATAAAACTAATTTGCACAAATATAAAAAACCACATCTAAATACATTCATGGAATGACCCATTATCCGTTATCCTTATCTAGTTTGTAGGCTTTACTACGTGTATTCGCTGCTATTTCTAGTTATCTCTTAAAATGTTAAATGTTTGGCAAACAATTACCGCATTTTCATTGGAACTGATGGCGGGAGTGGCGTACGCTGTCAGAACGACCGCACAGATAATCGTCCATAACAATAATGTTGTTTTCATGTTTCTGCTGGTGGCGGCGTGCTGGCAAAGGACCTCTTAAGTTTAGTTTTTGGTACGAGTATTGCTTGTTAACGTTTAGCTTTAGTTTCTTATTCACACTTTCTCTTATTGTTCGCAATCTTGTTCTATTTTTATGCGATCTTAATGGTGGTGTAAAAGCTGTGTATATTGTGTTTCTAATAGAATCCTTGGTGACAAGGATAATTTAGAGCACTTGTCTTTATGAAGTTAATTGAATTTTGAAAACTTTTCAACATCCTTGAAATGATTTTTCTTCAACAAAATAAACGCACACACAAATACACTCGCGTAAACGTTTGAATGTACGAATACTGTACGTAGAACAAATTAATCCTTTTCGTATCCGAATGGTGTTTGCCACAGAGTCAACTCTGTTGTTAGTTTGGGCACAGCGACGGAGCTAAGTGAATGCGTTGTGTTTAGAATGTGGCGATGACATCGTCGTGATATAAGAAAACCTAATGCGAATTTTCGAGAGTGTGATTAAGATTTTATATGAACCCCAATGCTGCATATGTTGGATGCAGCGCGAAAAACAACATAGGCTGCAGCAGCAACAGCGGCTAAACCAAACATCTGTCTATGGCCGTCGGGAGGCTGAGTCTGACAGGCTCCTCTATTTGCCATGTTTGTTGCCAATGTTGTTGTTGCTGTTGGTACCGTCAGGCTTAGTTTGGCTAAAGCATCTAGCAAAAGTGGGAATTTCTATTGTATGGATAAATGGCAGCAAGACAATCAACTTGGCCTCCTATGTCTACAAGTCGTCGTACAAGTCCACTTTTGTTTCAACATGGAAAAACATCTTTTATTGTCTTTAGATTTTCTCCTTTGCCACTGGACTATTTTCTTTGCTGTTGGTGTCTTTCATAAAGAAACATTTTTCACTGATTGTCTTGTTAAAATATTCCCAAGCCGAAAAAAATTCACGTTGCACGACGACGAGGAGTAGGAAAATAAGAAAAGTGAAAAAGAAACGTTTTAGTATTTTAAGGAGTATAAAGCGTATACAGGGTGAGATGAAAAAACTGCAACCAACTTCAGACTGCTATTATTTCTAAGCCACTCGTCCAACAGCTGCTTTCAAGTGTCAAAAGCATTTTGGTAAGAATTTTCCAGAAAAAAAGTTATAACTGATGGAATTCAAGTGTGATGTTTGGCTCGAAAACCACAAGTGGCTATCGTTAGACCACTCCAGCATTTAAATGTGAATAAATCTCTTGTGTCTCGTACCATCGCTCGTTACCGTGATACTGGTAGCGTAGCCCGACGTCATGGAAGTGGACGGAAGAAAGCAGCAACATCAGCAGAAATGGTTCGAAAAGTAAAGAAGCGTCTTGATCGAAACCCGCATCGCAGTGGCCGAAAAATGGTCGTGAGCTGAACATATCGCAATATTTCATTCAACAAATATTGAAAAATGAGTTCGGAAAGTGCAAGAACTTGCACCGGTGTAACAGAAAGAAAGTAGACTCAAAAGAGCTAAAGAGTTGCTTCACTTGACCGAAAGTGGCGAACTGCCGAAGTTGGTTGTCTCCGATGAGAAAACATTCGTCTTTCAGCAGTTAGTAAACAAACAAAATGATCGTGTTTACTTGCCAAAGAGGTCGGCTGAAAATGTGCACCTTCGGTTGTCCACCAAAACTCAAGCACCGGCCATGGTGATGGCGTGGGCCGTCATTACAGCCTATGGTCGCTCTCCGCTCATAGTTATCGACCGTGGCATCAGAATAAGTTCCGAATATTCTGCCTTTGGCACGCAAACATTTCGGCCGCAGACTTCGGACATTCCAACAAGACTGAGCACCATCGCAATCAGCACGCGCCACCCCAGAATTATTACAAAATGAAGTGTCGATCACCTCAAGCAAGCGCTTCGCCGGAAAGGGGCCAAAATACCGCAGAGCGACGTTCGGGTTACGTTTGACGGTTTCATTGGCCGTTTGAAGACCATAATTCGTGCTAAAGGTGACCAATTCGAACAAATCTAAACTTATTCCAAAATTTTATGCTATTTCCGACATTTTTAGCTTTCATGCAATAAAATTAAAAAAAACTTAAGCTATGGCGTTTGATTTTGATGCAGTTTTCTATCTCACCATGTAGTACATATTCACTCTGGATCGAACCATTCAAGTAAATTGAAATAGAGCGCATGGGAGCTAAATCGAAATCTAAACCACTTTTTTGATCCCGAAAAATGAAATGTATAAATTACGAGTTCTTTTTTCGCAACTTGTCATTCCCACCTCCTTGGCACATCGATCATCACAATAAAATAAAATAGTTATAATATATACAGGCTAACTAACTGGCTGACATAGTCAGTTAATGCTGTTGCTGATGCATCAGGTTTGTTATTATTTTCATTTTTTGTTGCAATGTTTCTCCTTTTTTTAATTTTTTGTTTGGTTTTGTTATTTATTGTGAATGTCAAAGTCACAGATCTCTTAGATGGCCTGCCGACTGGTTTTTCTCGTTCAAGGAGCTTTTATGGCATTTTCTTTCAATTTCTCACTGTACAGTTTTTCCAACCAAATTATCACAACTAACTGAATGTGTTTGTTTTAATGTGGAATGTGATTTCGTGGACGACTGGTTATTCATCTGCAGTATTTGACTTTGATAACATTTGTGGTTTTACATGACTTTAGGCAGAAATACAAGAGAGAGTATTTTCCTAGTAAAATTTTGTTTGTACCTCCATGAGCGCAGTTTTCTTAGAAAACAAAGAAAAGCTTTATATACCACCCAATTTTAACAAACCCTTATTATATTCCGAATGTCTTCTTTCTGAAAGCAAAGTCATCGATTTATGTTAGAGCTCATTTTACATTTTACTCAACTTACATATTTTTTTTTACTTTATCCTTAAGGGACTTTAAATCTTCTGCTATAAGTAAATAAGCTATAGTATTCTATACTGGCCCTAACTCTAAACTCATGAACAATTACTTAAATATCGGACTGTGCATCAAATATACGAAATCGTCCGAAAATATATACGGGAGCTATACCCAAACCTCAACCGATTTCAATATAATTTAGCGAATTCATTTTTGCACCAAATTTCATGTTCCAATCCGAATCTCATTGGAATCGGACATACATATCGCGTTTGTGCATAAAATATGTGAAATCGGCCGAAATATATATGGGAGCTATACCCAAACCTCAACTGATTTCATTATAATTTGGAAAAATTAATTTCATTGGTATCGGAGATACATATATATATATACACATACATACATACGAAATATATATATGGGAGCTAAATCCAAACCTCAACCGATTTCAATATAATTTAGCGAATTTATTTTTACATCAAATTTCGTTTATTTTTATACCCTCCACCAAAAAAAGTATGGAGGGTATATTAAGTTCGTCATTCCGTTTGTAACTCATCGAAATAATCATTTTAGACCCAACAAAGTATATATATTCTTGATCAGCGTAAAATTCTAAGACGATTTAGCCCTGTCCGTCCGTTCGTCTGTCCGTCTGTTGTAATCACGCTACAGTCTAAACGAATTAAGATAGGAAGCTAAAATTTTGCACAGATCTCCTTTTTGTCTGCAGGCAGGTCAAGTTCGAAGATGGGCTATATCGGTCCACGATATCGTATAGCCCCCATCTAACGGTACCCCCGATATTTGGTATTTTGATGATTTTAGCGATATCTGAAAATCCACACAAATAGTTCCTTGTGGGTACTTTATACCTCGGCAGAGAATTATCTATATAGGACCACAATATCGTATAGCCCCCATATAACGGTATTCGGTATTTTGATGATTTTAGCCACACTTTTCAATGGAATTGTCTGAAATTCCACAAAAGAAGTACCTTGTGGACATTTTACCCCTTCATAAAAGAATATCGTATATCCCCCATATAACGGTACCGTATATCCCCCATATAACGGTACCCCCGATATTCGGTGTTTTGATGTTTTTAGCCATATTTTTCAACGGAATTGTCTTAAAATCCACACAAGGAGTTTCTTGTGGGTACTTTATACCTCGGCAGAGAATTATCTATATAGGTCCACGATATCGTACAACCCTCATATAACGGTACCCCCGATATTCGGTGTTTTGATGTTTTTAGCCATATTTTTCAACGGAATGGTCACAAGGGGTTCTTTATACACAAGGGGTTCTTTGTGAGCACTTTACCCCCTGACAGAGAATTCTCTATGTAGGTTAACGATAACGTATAGTTCCCATATAACGATACCCTGCGATATTCGGTATTTTGAAAATCCACACAAGGAGTTCCTTGTGAGTACTATACACGCAGACATAGATTTGTCTTTATAGGTCCACAATATCGTATATCCCCACATATCGGCACCTTCTTATATTAGATATTTTAAAGACTTTAAAAAAATTTTTAATGGATTTTATTTTTTTTGAAAATTTTCTAATTCGTTCCAAATGGTGGAGGGTATTCAAAGTTCGGCCCGGCCGAACTTACTGCTTTTTTACTTGTTCTTATTATTTTTGCTCCGAATTCCGTTGCACACACTAAATTTGAAGACTGTGTCTGTAAACGATCAATAGATATGTGTACTAAATTTTTTGGAGGTACCTCCGATTCTGATTCTATATCTCGCGTTCCAAGTGCAGTTTCAAACATTTATATAGCATATGTATATTTCAGGTTATGCTGTAGTATATTTGGAAATTTCCAGGAAAATCTGTTCAGCAGTTTCTGAGTCTATAAATTACAAACAAACAAACTTATACACAGTTTCCTCTTTATAGAAATTGATGCAACAATTTTCTTTATACAGGGTAAATTAAAAAACTGCAACCAACTTCAGACTGCTGTCATTTCTAAGCCACTCGTCCGACAGCTGTTAAAATTGTTCCAGTAACAGCTCATTCTATTGTTTACAAGCGTACAAAAGAATTTCGATAAGAATTTTCCAGAAAAAAATTATTCTTGATGGAATTCAAGCGTGATAGTGTGAT